GTTGGTGCGGTGTATTGTGACTTACTCCTTACTGTTCAGTACCTACGGGCTCACCATAGCCCGTGCTGCTTGGAACTGTTTGTTCCAAGTAGCGAATCTTTAACAACAACAACCTTACTGTTGCAGAGTTACAGCCCGTGTACTTCATTTCAGTAATATAACAAGTGTTTACTAATGAGAGGTCAGACATCAGTAGGCTTCAGTCTGGACTCATTCCAGTCAGTACACCTTAAATGATGGGGTTTTATGCCTAGCATATATACGTTACCATTGTATTAAAGACAAAAATGTTGCAGGCGAGGAGTCACAATAACGTGGCTGAAATATGTTGACCAAACCACACACTAGAAAGTGAAGGGACGACGACGTTTCGGTCCGTCCTGGACCATTCTCAAGTCGATTTGGAATAGGTCAAAATCGACTTGATAATGGTCCAGGACGGGACCGAAACGTCGTCGTCCCTTCACTTTCTAATGTGTGGTTTGGTCAACAAAAATGTATTCATTTTATACCCAGCGCATATATGTAGCCAACGGGAAAATTAAAAGGATATTTGAACTTGAGTGATTGGTGGCGCTGGAAGTTGTACTGGATGTGATGTAGAGGATGATGGTGGTGGAGACGCCTAACTTATGGTGGTAGAGTCAGCTGATGGAGACTGCTAGAGGTCAATGGGAATAGTTGTGTTGACGGCGGAGAAAAATGCTGACCTCGGAGTGAATCAATAATCTACAAACGAAAGAAAATGGTGTTGGTCGGTTTTCAAATTTCCTCGGTGCACTATTTCAGCCTAATTTACTTTAAGCCTGTTTTTTTTATTTTAGTTTCAAAAGCTCCGATGTGTTCTCTCAATAGCTCCTTATTTTGTTCCTTAATTTGTATTACTTTGCATTTATCAGCGTGCCACTTAATAGTGCAATTTACAACATTTTCAAAATTGGTTTACACTCGAATGCTAAAGCTGTGTTGCTTCTTAGTTGTCACCAGCGAATTTTGACACGTTGCAGCATAATTTTCGACGTCTAACCATTCTGACGCATTTTTTGCGTCTAACTACACTGAACTACGTTTGTTTACAACTAGAACAATCAGTTGTTTACAACTGTAGAACAATCAGTTGTTTACAACTGTAGAACAATTAGTTGTTTACAACTGTAGAACAGTCAGTTGTTTACGTAAAGAGAAGGAGAAGCTGGTGGATGTGATTCAACGGGGAGAGTTGGTACTGTTGACTATGAGAGAGGAAGTGAAAGTTGGTGACTAAGGACAGCTTGCACAAGGACATTCTGCAGGACTAAGAGTAAAGAGGTGGTTGCCTGATATCGGTCTTGCTTTATTCACTTGTTACCAAGGCGACACCAGCCCAGCCAGTCACATGCCATCTTCAACACTACTTGACTGTGTTTGCTCATGCGCTTCTGACCTCCATTTACTATATTTATTTTTATTGGCTTTATTTATGTTCACATTTGGCTTGGCATTGACTTTATATAAAAGAAAATGGTTGAGAGTATTGTGCTTGGGGTCGCTAATGTACTCCTGGCCATGAAAATGAGAAGTTTCCGCATTGATTAAAGTAGCCTACTCTGTTGGGGCTGATATAACGAGCGGTCCATTAGTCCTAAAGTCAGTTGGTACTGATATAACGATGGAATCATCAGTACTTAGTCTGTTGGTGCGCATATAGGAACTAGCGTATATTATATGCAGCCCATCCTCCTAAAATGATAGTACTTAGAGTAACGATGTGGTCGAAAGTACAAATATGTCGTAATGCTCCACCAGAAAGTAGATTTTTATATAACTGAATTTGATCGAACTTGAAATTTGTTATAATGTTACTAATAAGATCTTGCCTAACAATCTAACCATCCTAGGCCTAATATAGTACATATATGTGCTATACTAGGCCTAGGAATATATAATTTTTTTAGCTTTATTTTTTCCGGACTATAATTTTTTTTTTACAAAATGGCTTACTGTAGCTACAGTGCTACATATTAGTACCATCGACCCAATAGTTACAAAATGTACTATCCTTTCAGGAACAGGGAATTATCAGGGGAAAAGCGCCAAGCCATTACGACTATTTAGAACTTGAAAGGGGTCAGGATAAGGATTTGTGATGGGACGAGGGGAAAGGAATGGTGCCCAACCACTTGGACGGTCGGGGATTGAACACCGACCTGCATGAAGCGAAACCGTCGCTCTACCGTTCAGCCCAAATGGTTAGTTATCCTTTCAGGAGGATAGGTTGATTGTATATCTCCCCGTATTTGTTTGAATTGTGATTCAGTGTACAACTGCAACTTGTATATAGATACAGTACGATGTAGGCTAATGTACATTTTAAAGTTTTAAAATGGTACAACACCTGATGCTTCACTAAGACTCACACTACACTCACCCTGAGCTTAGTGCTGCAGCTTTGCACACTTACTGTAATGAACATATGCTTCATAATTTAGGACATACCGATGCATCTTTGTAAATTCTTGGACACACAAACCTGACGCAGCCTACACTTTATGTAGCATCTAGGATATAGCACA